TTAGATATAAGTTAGACACGAAACACCCACAAGATCAATTACGCCGTTTAGTGCACCAGTGACTAAAACCAAAACTTTCGACGTCGTTTTAGCGAAGCAAGGTCCTAGGAGTGGACAAAGCATTCAACTGCATGGATTTATTTGGATAAGAAAATAAGGCCACTGAATAACATCTAGACTGAGGTACTCCGAGTAAAACGACTCTCAAATTAATTTCTAGTTGTATTTATGTAAACTCTGTTTGAACGTGGCTTTAGGTGTGTTTCTAATCTTATCCTCTTTTTTCGTTTGGGTGAACTCAAAACAAGTGTGCTTACTTTGCTGCCCCGCCAGATCGATTGATTTTATGTTTGATACCATTACACACGATCTGATTCTCCTCGCCCGTAGCCTGACATTTACCAATTCTAAACAGAAGTCGAGCGTCAAACGCTCTTTTGAGCAACTCGCAAAGTTTTCGTCCTTCATGATTACTTGGAAGGTATGCCGTGAAAAACCTCTCGTGGTAAGGATGTCCTGGAGTAGGATGTTCCCATCCTGTAAAGTTAGAAACAAATGAAAATTATCAAAGAATATCAGACAAAATTGCATAGTATAAATGCCAATAAGTATTGTACATTGAAACACCTTACGAAACTTCTCCCTACCCTTCTCTACAACGGAAGTTCCAACAACCTAAACATCTGTTTTGAGAAAAAATGTCGGAAAAAACACGAGTGCACGCGAGAGCCCCGAAAGGTATCATCGATAGTTCTCAGGTCACGGTTCCTTGAACTCAGGATTTCAGAGAAACCTGAGAAAACGTCACTGTATCAGAGGTAGTACTGCGGGTTTGATGAACTTATTTATTCATTTGACTTATAAAAATGTATTTATTAACGGATACCCGGATTACCTTTCGATACTGTCACGCACACTTAGTTATTTTTCTGACAACCTTCTCGAAACAGGTGTATACAATCCGTTCATCCAACGTATAGGTCGTTCTGATTGATAGATCTCGTAATAAGACATGAATGATCGTCACTTAAATCGCAGAAACGTAATGATTCCACTCTAAACTTGAGTGGAAGAGATTTGATTCAAACCCACCTTGGGTTCCCGAGGGAAAGTTATAGGTAACGGCAATACTGTAATAGTCTGGATATCCAGGAAGAGGCTGTTTCTCTGTCCTCCAAGCCATGCTTCCTATTGGTTGGCTTCTTTCACAGATACACCATTGATTACTACAGATAGAACCATCAGTCGTGTTATCGATACAAGACTGGCAAAAGGTATGTCCACAATTCCGGGGTTCGACCAGTTCTTGGTATGAGTTGCGACATATTGAACAGCGGAGTGTTGTTTGGCTTCCTTGCGACTGATCTGAAATTTTAAGGAAATTTTTAGCCCAGAAACATAACTGTATCGACCACAAGCAAAAAAATTTTTATTCTGAAGAAATTGTGAAGAATTAAAGGGAAGACCTCAAAACTAAAGCATGAGAACAGCTGATATTTCACATCATTGAGACATAAAGTAGGTCTAAGAGTATTGTTGACTATCGTATTATAATGGACATTGCAATGATCAACGAACATACAATCTCTATTATTTGTACTATGGCAGCCACAATTCAACATATGATACTGATTCAAGTGACGATAAAAAAATCCTCATTTTGTAACTCTACCTTCGTCCTTCTCCACTGTGGATGCCTCACTTGCGGATACCATTAGCTCCTTCTCTTCAGGCCCTTGACTTGTACCCGTGGCTAATAATGGCACATCATTTGGTGCTTCAGCTCTGTTTGATGCGGATACATTCGGAGTATTTGGTGCAGTTTCGAGCGCCATTTGCTTTTCCCTTTCTTTCTTCTCTGTCTTTGGGGCACTCGAATTTGAATGCACAGGATCACTTGCTGAGGACTCACGTTTACTGCCTTCCTTGGACTTGTCTGGCGGCTTGTTTTCGTCTTCTTTTGTTTTCTCTTTATTCGCATCAGGCTGATTCACATTGTTAACATCAGAAGCATCTGTGAATTGCTCGTTGTTTTCCGCCTCGAGTTGCTTTGCAAGATTAAGGTTATCCTTCGTCGCAGAGAGACCAGGGGGATGCTTGATTTCACTTGTTGCTTTAAAGCTCATCGCCCTCCCAAATGAGGTACCATTTGTGTCACCTCCTTTCCGAAAAAAGCTAGGTGCAAGGATTCCTCTAGCAGGTACTGAATTTCCAGAACTCTTTGTTGTTTTGTCGGATCGTTCGCCAGTATCCTGACCTTCATCCTTGTGCTTAGTTTCATTCTTACTGCCTCCAACATTTTGGGCTTCAAGGCTGTCTGCCAAACTCATCTCGTCTGCCTTTAAGTTGCTTTCCTTAGAATTTTGCTGGTGCTGCTCTTCCACCCGTTGATGGGAGTCATTTTCGTCCTGTTTTCTCATTGGTTCAGCAGGGCTATCCTGTGTACTCTTACACTTTTCAGTAAGTAACTCATCATCAATCCTTGGATCACCACCTCCTCGGTTAGTAGAAAATGGGCTATTTCCTTCTTCTTTAGATGGACGTCTCTGAATTTCCATTTGATTTTGCAACTTTTGTTCCGAGTAGTAACGGTTAACAAATTCTCTTCGGAAGACCTCAGTGGTTTCTGCATCGATGATAACGACACGTATGTCACGGAGAGTACTACATTCTGCATCTATACTTGTGCTGAACTCTTCAATCGCTCGAAAAATTGCGCCAGCACAGGCTTCTTTTGGCATACCGCAATTACCTGAGCTAATGGCTGGAAAAGCTATAGAAGAGAGTCGAAGTTGCACAGCAAGTCGGAGGCATGTTATGCATGTCAGTCGAAGAACAGTTATAGCAGCGCTTTTGTCGGGATAAGCTGACCAGTCTGGCCCAATTGTGTGGATTACATAATGACAAGACAGATGCCCACTTAGGGTGTAAACAGCTTCACCAGGTTGCAGAGGGAATTTACGATGAGACATGATACACCGAGATTCATCTACTATTTGACTCCCTCCTTTTATCACAATTGCACCGCCCACACCTTGAGAATGTTGAAGCCATGGGTTAGCTGGGTTGACAATGGCATGGACTTTTTCATCAGTTATGTCTCCCTGGTATAAGGATACCATTACGTTATTTGTCAACATCTGCTGTAGGATCTTAGGCAATGGCGGTTCATGATGGTGAGGCGAATGACTGATATTCCTTTGACCATTCCTAAGGTTGCCGCCGCTGAGTTTTGACAGTCCAAGTATATTTTTTAGAGCCTTTACTGAGCTCTTAAGATGAATATCCTCGCTATAGATGATTAACTGACCTTCTGCTTTCTCAATCACAACGGGATGTTTGCTTTCCACGAATGCAATCGCCTCCTTGATTTTCCCGTCATCGTGGATGTCTCTTACATCAATCACCTGTCGCTTCATGGTATGGTAGATGGTTTGGTACAAATCAATGAAAGCATCGCATCCTTCTTGATAGTGTGTTTCTTCGGCTAGAGATGTAGGTTTGATATCTACTCCAGGTTCATTTTCAGGCCAAATTATCTTTAGGTGGTACTCCCTTTCTATTTGTTCAAGCTTTTCCTTGTGTACTCTTATGAAAAATTTCATGAATTTTGGTTCAACTTCAAAGGTGCGCTCTTCTACAATTTCCTGAGGGTCTTTTTTAACTTGCTTGAGATTTTTTGCAGAATTTTGTAGAGTTTTTATGGCATCTTTTCCTTGCACCATTCTTTCTTCCTTAAACAGCAAATGTGGACGCTGAAGAAAATATTTTTGCAAATACCTATGAGCAATTTCTAGTTGATTGATCGTCCCAGAGAGAACAAATCCATCAAGACCCTTCACTTGCCATGATACACCAACTTCATCCTTCACCATTTTGAGCAGATTTTCTGACTTCTGAGGTGATATGGTATCGAAGCTCACAAAGGCAGTAACATGCGAGAAAACCTGTGCAGGTCAGAAATAAAAGGGGTAAGTTTCTAAAGAAACTGTGGCGCTGCGTCGGTATGTGGTATAACAAACGCTTTGTCAGAGCGACTGACGAATACCTAACTCTCGAAAAGTAAGCTTTAAAAAATCTTTGCGGTGGCCAATTTACACTATCATGTCAGAAATAGGTTTGTCCAAATGATATAGAAAAATAACAAATGCAATAATAAAAGGGTAAACTGCGTCTAGTAGGCATTGTTCATTGTTACCAGGTAGAGCACCTAGCTCCCCTCGCTCAAGGTAGGTTTTGTAGTCACGACGCCTCACCTTCGGTTACAATTCACGCCTTTTTGTATATTGTTTTCTGTTTTCAGTTGTTCCGTGTATATTTGTTGTTTTATCAGGTTCGCCAGTCATTTTTGTCACGTCACTTTTCATATTTTTGTGTTCATTTTTTATGCATTGTTTCTATTGTTTGGCATAGCTTCTTCTACCGTAGTTTTCTTGTCGCCGTTGTCATTATGTTTTAGTCGTCGTAGTCGCCACATAATCTTTTTAGTTTCGTTATTTTGTCCGTCATTTTGCCTGTTTTATTTATATTTCGTTTTGCTTTCCTGTTCTGTATATTTAACTTGTTTATGCACATTGGCCTTTAGCGAATCGCTAGTAAAGGTGCGAATTGCTCGGATTTGTGGATTTCGACTACAGGCTTGTCCTAAGGAAAAATTAGAGGCTGACAACAGTCTGAAGAATCATTTTGCTTTTGTTCTCTAGTTTGGAAACGTTTCAAGCTAAACAATAGGAGGGAAGAGGGCAAAGGCTATAGTGGCAAAAACTAAGTCCTAAGTAATGGACATTAATTAACTAGCTCAAGTAAAAATATTTTCGATTACTATCTTACTTGATCTTTAATCTTAATGCACGCTAAAAAGATTCATCATGCGACAATATACAATGAATAACTATACGTTTCCCCCCAAAAAACTAGGTAAATCACTCACTATGGTGTATATATATAGTGGAACCCCATTAACTCAAACTCCCAAGGGAAACAAAAAATGGTTCAACTCAATGGTTCTAATGTATAACCAAACTATTTACCAACTAAAAGCATGTTTCCATTATTTTAATCTTTAAATTTTAGATGTAGCAAGTGCTTGGATTGACTTGGGGACTCTGTCTCTCTAAGATTACAGGGTAGAATGTTCCAGAGGGTTGCACCACTGTGACAAAAACTATTTTTGGACATACTGTAGATAGTTTGCAGGAAGGAACAATTAGTTTGTTTACAGACCCTTAGGGAAAGCACAATCACACTTAAATATTTCCATCTGAGTTGCTGAAACAAATTTTTTTGATATCAGTATCTAAACTAGAAGACGTTAAAGTCGTGGAGCACGGTTCTGGAGATTCTGTACAGTTTTAGCAAGGCACTGATAGAGTTTTGCTACATTTACCCCAGACTAGATTTAGCCCAGACTGGAAATGAGATCGAGCAAGGACATTGTATTTGCGGAAAACTGTAAATTAAGGGACAAAAGACTTTTAGATCTTTAAATCAATTATATTTAGTGGTATACCTCTTGATTGCGGTATGGTCTAAGATCCACCTTTTTACCTCCAAACATGTGAGGGTGCTTCAATACCCCATCAGCAACTAATAAAGAAGACAAAAATGAAGATCACATTTTAATGTATTTAATTCAATTTTTAGAACAAGAGACAGTAAAATATATATCCCAAGATACACCTTCTGTCTCCTGCTAGTTTTAACATGACTCAATATGCTAATAATAGTCTTATTTCCTCATAATGGATACATTGTCACAGTCATAAAGTTAATATATCAAGAGAAACCTATGAAATAATGTATTTGAAATATTTGTATAAGTTTTGATCAATTGCCAGGGAAACCACAGAGGGGTGATATCTTTGATAGATGTTTCTTTTTTCTTCGGTGCAAGTTAGATAAAGCTTTTTCATGACAAATGTTCTCTTATTGTAAAATGTAAATTGTCCCGGCTTGTCTTCTGCTTTGTTGTGAAGCTGTACTAGGTCTGAACTGAAAGGATCTTAATCCGAAATATTTACGGTATGGGCTAGGAGAGCCAAGCAAGATTGTTTACTGAATAATTTTTGTTTATTGCCAACATCAATCGAAGAGTGTCAAGCTCAGACAAAGTTTGTTTTGATATTTTGTACAACAACGCACTTACTCCTGCACGAGGACACTGATTTTGCACAGTTTTACATATGACAAGCAGACTTCACGTTTTGCTTGCTTGCTGCCTCGCTTAGTTTGTCTAGCAAGCAATAGCATTGTAGATAATTCACGTGTATCAACTGAGTTGATAATGTAAATTGGCCGCCGTAACCGGAGTATGAAGGTAGATCCTGGACAAAATGTTCGTTTCGTCGTTTCGTTATGGCGTTTCGTCGTTTCGTTATGTCGAGTCGTTGTTTTTCGAGTTCGACTCGTCGAACTTCTAGTTCGTTTCGTCGTATTGTCAGTTCGATTCGTCGGCTGGCCTCTTCGACTCGTCGTTTTACGAGTCCGACTCATCATCCACCACATCTGTTCGTCGTTTTGTCGTTTCGTCATTTCGTCATGGCGTTTCGTCGTTTCGTTATGTCGTTTCGTCGTTTCGAA